ACCCCAATTCTAATAACACTTCCTCACACATCCTTTATCTGCTCACTTATCTATAATTCATTAATGACAATTTATTGAGCACCTATTATGTACTCTATACTGTTCTTAATACAGATAGTAAAGAGAAAGGCAATTGTTTCTACCTTCCAGGTCCATGGCCTGGTGAGAGAAGCACTCAGATTAAAAGGCAAAAACTGAGTCCTAAGGGAAATGGTGGAGTGCTTGTACATGGTACTGTACAGAGTGCTTCTATCAAAGGGCAGTTTATTCTCCCCCACCCAAATCTTTTTTTTAAGAGAATTTTCTTTTTTTTTAATTTTTATTTATTTATGATAGTCACAGAGAGAGAGAGAGAGAGAGGCACAGAGACATAGGCAGAGGGAGAAGCAGGCTCCATGCACCGGGAGCCCGATGTGGGATTCAATCCCGGGTCTCCAGGATCGCGCCCTGGGCCAAAGGCAGGCGCCAAACCGCTGCGCCACCCAGGGATCCCTCCCCCACCCAAATCTTATACACACACACACTCACACTCCTACCTCCAACCCACACTGGTTTCTTCACTTTTTCGGACCTTCTTAGAAGGTCCTGCAGTAAGTCAGTGTGCTGTGTAAACCCACAAAGGAGCACCAAATACATGCTGCTTTGCATTGTTCCCTAATTGATTCCTATACATACAGCTTCTGTCTGTCCATCACAATTATAATTAAAATTCTTCACATAGCCTAGAGCATTACTGAGCGTAGAAGGGTCACCTAGAAAACCTCTTGGTCTGCCTATCTTTTCTCCATACTGCAGCCAGACTGATCTTTACAAAACACAGGCATCATCTCCTTTTTTTAGAAACCCTCCATAGATTCCTTGCTCTTAAATAGAGAGGGAGAGTGCCACAGGCAGAGGGAGAAGCAGGCTCCATGCAGGGAGCCTGATATGGGACTCAATCCCAGGTCTCCAGGATCACACCCTGGGCCGAAGGCAGGCCCTAAACCGCTGAGCCACCCAAGGATCCCCATCCCAATTTGCCTTTTTACTCTTGCTCACCCTTCATATGTCAGCTCAAAGAAACATTCCAGCTTGGAAACCTTCCTGCATCTGCCAATTTAGATCAGGTTCCTCTCTTATTTGCCTTACTGAACTTTTTCTTTCCTTCGAAGCATTTATCTCAATCTGTAATTAAACCGTCATCAGTGGGCTTACTTGATTAATGTGTGCCTCTCCCCATTAGGCTTTGAGCTACCTGAGAGCAGTGGCTGTTGTTTGGTCTCACTCAGAATCGTTATCTCCAGAACCCGTCACAGGGCTGACATATATTAGGTGTTTGATAAGTATCTTCTGGGCAGATGAATGATTGATTGAATGAATAAATACTAAGTGCCTAAATGTGACATGCTCTGGACTCAATAGACTTCCGAGTCAGAGGGCAAATATACAATTATTGTATAATATTGAGTGCGAGAATTGGTTTTCAGTGTCTGCTATGGCCACAGGGTTGGAGGAATGGCATTGTGAGTGCCTGTGCCTTGGTCCACTTGAACTTCATTATGCCATATTTGCAATATGGACCCGGATCATGACCCCACCATCATTTGACATGCTAAACTGTTTGCATTTTTGCTCTGGGTTTCAATCAGGGCAGTAAATATTCTCCAAAACTTTTTATTTTTTTTATATTTTTATTTATTTATGATAGGCACACAGTGAGAGAGAGAGAGAGAGAGAGAGAGAGAGAGAGAGAGGCAGAGACACAGGCAGAGGGAGAAGCAGGCTCCATGCACCGGGAGCCCGACGTGGGATTCGATCCCGGGTCTCCAGGATCGCGCCCTGGGCCAAAGGCAGGCGCTAAACCGCTGCACCACCCAGGGATCCCCTCCAAAACTTTTTATTTTTTTTATTTTTTTTTTATTTATTTACGATAGTCATACAGAGAGAGAGAGAGAGGCAGAGACACAGGCAGAGGGAGAAGCAGGCTCCATGCACCAGGAGCCTGACGTGGGATTCGATCCCAGGTCTCCAGGATCGCGCCCTGGGCCAAAGGCAGGCGCCAAGCCGCTGCGCCACCCAGGGATCCCTCCTCCAAAACTTTTTAAATAAGCTATACTCACATATGTCTGCAAGGTAGGACTACTTGAGCCCCTTTCTCCCCAACAACTTTGTGGTTCTGTAATAAAGTTTGTAGCAGTAGTGCATTAAGAAACAGATTGGGGAGGATCCCTGGGTGGCGCAGCGGTTTGGCGCCTGCCTTTGGCCCAGGGCGCGATCCTGGAGACCCGGGATCGAATCCCACATCGGGCTCCTGGTGCATGGAGCCTGCTTCTGTCTCTGCCTCTCTCTCTCATAAATAAATAAAAAATTAAAAAAAAAGGAAACAGATTGGGGGGCTCGGTTTGAGAATGAAAAGACTGAATTCAGTCGCCACCCAGTGGGCAGAGTTGCACTTGAGTGTTTTTCAAAATGAGGACAGAGAGTGCTCTTTGCTCTGCCAGAATTTCTAACTTGGCTTGGGTTGCCCATCATAAAAGGGAGTGTGGCCAAGGGGAAGCATCCCCCTCAGCAGTGACTTCAAGTGTTTGTTCAGCTGCTCAGCTTACTTCCTTTATTTTTTTAAAAGGTTTTATTTATTTATTCATGAGAGACACAGAGAGGCATAGACACAGGCAGAAGAGGGAGAAGCAGGCTCTCCACAGGAAGGTAGATGCTCAATCACTGAGCCACCTCGGTGCCCAGTTTACTTCCTTTAAAGATATCCTAAAGATTCTGGTCCTCGATTCTGACTCAGTTTGAGCCACAATGCCACTGGTGCCATCTCTGATCTTTGTCAGATTTAACTCTTTATGGTTTTTACTCTTGCTTATCGCTTTAAAGCAGTCTCAAAACTCAATTCATATTAACATGATATTGACTGATAGTAAGCAAACTTACCTCTCCCATTAATATCTGTCTCCTCCTTAAATGTAATAACAGAGGGATCCCTGGGTGGCGCAGCGGTTTGGCGCCTGCCTTTGGCCCAGGGTGCGATCCTGGAGACCTGGGATCGAATCCCACATCGGGCTCCCGGTGCATGGAGCCTGCTTCTCCCTCTGCCTGTGTCTCTGCCTCTCTCTCTCTCTCTCTCTCTGTGACTATCATAAATAAATAAAAAAAATCTAAAAAATGTAATAACAGAAAGAGGTTAACACCTGAGTTAAATCTTAAACAATTTTAAAAAGTTAACCAGTCAACAAGAAAAGGGAGGAACAATTTCAGAAAGAGAGAGCAGCATAAACAAAAAACACAGAGGCCAGAAGTATCATGGAATATTCAAGGAAAATTTTACAGTTGTTTTAAGATCTTTATGACCTTATCCACTCTAATTTTGGAGAATCCAGCCCCAAATATATTGCATATATTCAAATACATTCCACATTAAATATAATGTAAATTTAACCACCAGTGGAGTTGAGTTAAAGTGACTAGTCACCATGATGTTACTTGTTATGGGCATGTGTTAATTTTAATTTTTCAGGATTTTAGTTTTGAAGCCATTTTTTAACCTCTGATATATAGTGCCTGACCTTTTTTTAAAAGATTTTTACTTATTCATGAGAGACACAGAGAGAAAAGCAAGTTCCTCACGGGAGCCCCATGCAGGACTTGATCCCAGGACCCTGGGATCATGACCTGAACTGAAGGCAGACAGTCAACTGCTGAGCCACCCAGGCGTCCCTATAGTGCCTGGTTAATAAAACAGCATAGGAGTGCCTGGATGGCCCAATCAGTTAAGTGCCGACTCTTGATCTCAGTTCAGGTCTCCATCTCAGGGTTGTGGGTTCAAGCCTTGCTTTGGGCTTCATGCTGGATGTGGAGCCTATTCAAGAAAATAAGATAGGGGCACTTGGGTAGCTCAGTAGTTGAGTGTCTGCCTTTGGCTCAGGGCATGAATCTAGATCTTGGGTCCAGGGATTAAGCCCTACATCAGGCTCCCTGCAAGGAGCCTGCTTCTCCCTCTGCCTGAGTCTCAGCCTCTCTGTGTGTCTCTTAAGAATAAATAAATAAAAATATTTTTTAAAAATAAAATAATAAATAAAACAGCATAGAACTAAGCAGTTTTTGAGTATAAAATTCAAGGTAGAGAATGAAAAGAAGCAAGAGCAGACAGGCAGCTGGGAACCAGAATACAGAAAGGTTTGTGTGCCATATAAGTCACTTGGACTCAAGCCATTGAATAACTTTGAACAGGAGTGAGTCCTCATCAGACATGCTTGTCATTTAGCTCACCTGGGAATGATATGGAGGACAGACTGGGGAAGACCAAGATTGGAGATGAGGAACCATTAGAAGGCAAATAAAGAAGTAAGACTCTTCACCTGGCAAAAGTGAGCCATGGAAAGCTAAGGGGGAAAGCAAGGTGAGGCAAGATCCTACAGTAGAAGGAAGGTTTGGGATGAGCATCAAGAGATCTGAGTTCTGGTCCTAAATTAATTGGACCTGTTTCCCCATCTGTGAAGTGAAGGGATCCTCCCTGTTAATTACAAGTGCTTCATCTTATTATAACAATGCATGAAAAATCAGGTGTGTATTCTGGGAGCTCAGACCAAGAAGACTTGTAGACTATTTCTCCCATCTAAGTGCTAACCAAGCCCCACCCTGCTTAGCTTTGGTGATCAGATGAGACTGGGCACGCTCAGGGTGATATGGCTGGAGGCTGAAAACTGTTTCTGAAGGTTCTTCTGCAATCAGGTTGCCAACAGTAAGTTCCATATAGCAAATGCACATGGGGAACCCATCCTGGTTAGGAATCCAAGCCTTCTGTTAGGAAGCTCCACTTCTTAAGCAGCAAATGTCAGGGTAAAGTCATAGTGGAAATCTATATCCTTACCAGTCTGTGTGGTTTTTTAAAATAGTGGCTTATGGACCTTTAAAAAAAATCCTCTTTCCTTTTGTTCCTTTCTATTGAGATGGTTGTTTTTAAATCTTCCACCCTTTAAACTATTCCTGTTGATGTTTGTTGTTTTGTTTTGTTTCAGATTCCGCCTCTCTTTGCCAGAGTCCAGTCGCAGCAATATTGAGGTAGGAATCAGAGCTCAGAGTTCCCTGTCAAGGGAAAAATGATAATTTTCCTCTATAGTAGCTGGATGACTATTTCCTAAGCCTCTAAATACTTGGTTTCTCCATGAGTGTAGGTTTTAACTTTATTTTTTTTTTAGGTTTTAACTTTAAAACTCCTTGTGTAACTTCTTGTCCACCAACTCCATTAACTTTTAAGCAGGACAGCAACTCTCCAATTCACTCTTCTCTATTCAGAAAGACTTTTACAAGAATTTTTTTAAAAACTAGGACCTGGGGATCCCTGGGTGGCGCAGCGGTTTAGCGCCTGCCTTTGGCCCAGGGCGCGATCCTGGAGACCCGGGATCGAATCCCACATCAGGCTCCCGGTGCATGGAGCCTGCTTCTCCCTCTGCCTATGTCTCTGCCTCTCTCTCTCTCTCACTGTGTGCCTATCATAAATAAATAAAATAAAATAAAAATTAAAAAAAGAGACTTTAAAAAAAAAAACTAGGACCTATGTAATATTGGAGGGAAAACAGGCATTTTCAGGGAGATTTCATTTTTTGGAAAAGGAATCTTCAAGAGTTAAATATAAGATCTGGACTCCCAAAGGATAAGGCTATCTGTAAATTATTAAGGCCATCATTAAGTTTGTTCGTTGAAGCCTTAATAAGCCATCTCCTAAAATCGCATCAAGCCTGGTTGTGCAGATACCTTTCCGGGGGCCCCAGCCTAGTGACCTCCTGATTGGAATAGCATATCCCAACAGTGACTTGGAAACAAACCCCTCCCCACAAACTACAGGAAGATCAGCCAAATCACTTATTGGTGTCCCTACCCTTCTGGCACTTATATTCCAGAGCAGTGGCTCTCACCTAGAGCCAGCTTTGCCCCCAGGAACATTTGGCAGTGTCTGAAAACATTTTTGGTTGTCACATTCTGAGAGGTGTTATAGGCACTTAGTGGATAGAGACCAAGGATGCTGCTTACCATCCCACAGTGCACAAGACAACCCCACAGCAAAGAAGGATCCATCCCAAAATTTCAATAGTGCTGCTGTTGGGCACTCCTATTCTGGTGTGTGTGTGTGTGTGTGTGTGTGTGTGTGTGTGTGCGCGCGCGCGCACATGTATGTGTGGATATGTGTGAGATAGGTGAAGGGTGGAAGACAACAAGCAAATATATATTATATGCTGAAAAATATTACAGAGAAAGATAAATCCAACCAAGAGAATGGCCAGTGTAAGTAGCTGGGGATTACAGTCTTGGGGTTGTTGAGATGATTAGCTGGAATTAGGTGTGAAATTCATTTAGCACATTGAATACATGGTAGGTATTAAATAAATGATGGCCATTATTATTATAAAAGTTAATTTCAGTTATTGCCACCTCTATGTCAAGGGACAGCATAGCATAATGGTAACATATACAAACTCTGAGGTCAAACTGCAAGAGTGAACTCCCACCTACTGACTGTATGGCCTTGGTCAGGTCACTTGATCTCTCACAGGCAGTACTGGGACATGATAAGTACCGAATTTATTACCGTGTTCAACAGAGGCAGCTATTAAGAGAGGAATAGATTTGAGGAAAAGAGCGAGGAAACCCAAGAATTTATCCAGGAGACCAAACAAGATGTTTATTTCTTTAATTTTAAAGAAGATGGGAAGATTAGGAACAGGGCATTAGTGTCAACAAGCTGGAAAATAAGTTACATCTTTCATGCCAGATATTGACATTTAGTTAGCACCTCCAGGCATAGCCATTTGATGGATGACAGACTATAATCAATGAGACACCTAGCTGACTTTCTCATAAATAATATTTATGAGAAATAATATTTCCTGAGCCTAGAGGGGCGAAGTAAGTCCAAGTCTTCCAGGAAGACCCAAAGAAACTGCTTAGTATCAACAACAGGGAGTGCTAATAATGACATTTCTGGAAGAAAAAAAAATGACAGTGGTATATACTGGGCATTTAACATAATATTAACTTGTTTAATCCTGAGACCAACTCTATGACATTAGTGCTGTTATTTTCATTTTACAGTAGAGGAAACTGAGGCACACAGAGGTTAAAGAACTTTCCCAACATCACAGAAGTGGTAAAAACAAGAGCTAAACCTAGGAAGTCAGCTTCAGAGTCCTCCTTGCTAAGCTGCAAAGCTTTGCTAAGCATGTAGGATATTCAAAATATATTCACTGAGTGAATTGATATTCATCATAGTCCATTTATTTTTTTAATATTTTATTTATGAGAGAGACAGCTCACTCACACACATGCATATAGAGGGGAGGAGCAGGGAGGGGGGTGGAGAGAGAGAGAGTCTCCAGCAGACTCTGCACTGAGCAAGGCACCTGACCCTGCCAATCCTATGACCCTGAGACCATGACCCCGGAATTGTGACTAAACCAAAAGCAAAAGTCAGGTGCTCAACTGACTGAGCCACGCAGGTGCCCTATAGTCCATTTATTTTTAATACCTGAATCTCTCCAGGAACTAACACTTTGCTAAACTTTAACAACTTTATTCAAGATAAATTGGACATTCTGGTGATACTGTTAACTATAGAGCATCACATAATACAAAGGACCTCAAGTAAGGAAAGACCACTAACTGGAATACTTAGTAATCATTTATATTGTCTTAGTAGATATCTAAGCTGCCATGTTTGCTGGCACCATGTGGTCCCTCTGCATCTGTTGTCACCATGATCCACCATACAGGAGAGTAGAAATGTCCATCCTCAAAGAGGAAAAAAGATTGGGAAACTGTGTAATATGGTTTCCCGGAAAATAGCATTCAGTGTCTGGAAATCTAGACTATCTCTATGAGGAGATTCTTATTATTGCCCTGTGTCATGATTAGGTCTGGGAAAGTGCACGACCAGACCAGGCACGGTACTTTCAAAGGCCCTGACTTGGCAACTGATTTAGTATCCCCTTTCGTTTTAGGTCTTGAGGTTTGAGAATATTCTGTCCTCCATTCTCCACTTTGGAATCCTCCCACTGGCCAACGGTAAGGGGATTCTTGGGAAACATGTGACTCTGACATTAGCTAAATGTTGAGGATTGTTTTTCCACCCCAAAGCCTGTACTTCTAGCATATGATTGTGTGAATCTAGGCCGATGCCAGAATTTACAGAGTTTGTACCATCAGTGAGGTGGTTGAAAAATTAGTTACTCCAGGTCCAAGACTTGTTAGTAACACTACCCACAGAACTCAGAAAGAATGGCTAAACTCTGGTTGAGTTAAGGAGATTGAAACCGCTCTCCTGAGGCAGTAAAAGAATCTCCTTCAGGTCTGCCAGAAATGAGATTAATCTCCCCAGAAGACATCTCTGTGGTTCTTACGCACAGACCACCATCTGGATAGACAGATTTAATGAAAGACAATTCTAGGTCCTCTCTCTTCATACAGTTGTTCACAAACTACAGCATCCTGAGTTTGGCTTCGTTAAAATACATTTTGTATCAGAGAATAAAATGTTCTCAGACCCACTAATAAGGATGTTTTCAAAATATAAACTGGACAAGTTGCCAGCATTTTTCTACTATCCAAATGCACCTAATTGCTTGTGCATTTTTATTAAGCACTTCATTAACAAAGTAAGCATTTATACCAGGAAAATGTAAGGAAAATAGAATGAAAATACAGAATCGGGAAGAAGGAAAAGATAGATTATTTAAAAGCTGCTTATTCACCTTTTACTAAACAAAAAGTTTGCCAAAACTTCTGTGTCTGTGCCTAGTTATCTTACATTCTGTTCTGTATTTTAGCAAAATTGCAGCAAGGAATTCCCCTGCCCAACCCACACAAAATCTCATTTGTCAATTCAGATGTTGAAGTTTTTGAGGTAAGAATGTGAATATTCTCTTCACTGCCCCCATTTCTTTTCATAGTACAGTAAGCCTCATCCTATTTTGCTTACTCTGTTTAATGCCACTTTGTTCTCCTTTGTGTTTTTCCAGCCCAAGAATTTTATAGGCAAAAGATTTAGCTCTTAAAGCTTACAGTCAGGGCACCTGGGTGGCTCAGTGGGTTATGCATCTGCCTTCAGCTCATGTCATGATCTCAGGGTCCTGGGATTGAGTCCTATATCATCGTTGGACTCCCTGCTCAGTTGGGAGTCTTCTGCTCCTTCTCCCTCTGCCCCTCTCCCCCTACTCTTGTTCTCACTCCCTCGGTCTGCTCTCTCTCTCTCTCTCTCTCTCTCTTTCTCTCTCTCTCTCTCCCTAAAATAAGTAAATCTTTTAAAAAAAAAAAGCTTGCCATCAACAATGAAAAGCATTTAAACTTGAGTTTAAAAATCAGACCAGGGATTCCTGGGTGGCACAGTGGTTTAGCGCCTGCCTTTGGCCCAGGGCGTGATCTTGGAGACCGGGGATCGAATCCCACGTTGGGTTCCCAGTGCATGGAGCCTGCTTATCCCTCTGCCTATGTCTCTGCCTCTCTTTCTCTCTCTATGTGACTATCATAAATAAAAAAAAAAAATTAAATAAAAAAATAAAATAAAATAAAATAAAAATCAGACCAAGTCCCTTTGCAGCCAGGCTTATTCACACCGGCTTATTCACACCACACTATGAGAAGGTGCATTGTGGTGTTCTATTTCATGCATTCCACAAAACAACCTGCAAGGCTGGGATTAGCAGTCCCATTTTACAAATGAGAATACCGAGGCCTGGCTGAGACTTGACCGGCTCTTCTGATTCTCTCAGTGAAACTTTGCTTGAACCAAAGGACTCTCCTTGAGGTTCAGGGATCTGTTGTGAGCTGTTTCCTCATTAATCATTATCAACAAACTCCAGAACACCTTTTTCCCCCATTTTGGTGCTTTTTTAGGGGGGAAAGGGTAGAGGAAGTAAGATTCTTTTTTTTTTTTTTAGATTTTATTTATTTATTCATGAGAGGCACACAGAGGCAAAGACATAGGCAGAGGGAGAAGCAGGCTCCCTGCAGGAGAGCCTGATACAGGACTGGATCTCAGGACCCTGGGATCACAACCTGAGCCAAAGGCAGATGCTCAACCACTGAGCCACCAAGGTGCCCCAGGAAGTAAGATTCTGATGAAATTCTCAGATCTCATACACTATCCTGCCCTCCTGCTTCCCTCTCTACCTCCCCTTCCATAGCTGCTTAAGTCACATAAGGAGACCATAATCCCAAGTGTCTTGTCCCTATGTCTAAGGCACTCACAAGAGGACAGCGGGGGGGGGGGTGCGGTATGACACAGGAGGACCTGGTAATGACATTGTCTTCACCATTGCCTCCTTTTCAGGGTTTCCTTTTGATTTCCACTGACCTGAAGTATGAAACATCCTTAAAGCAGCAGCCAAGTTTCCATGGTTGGGAAGGTCTGAGTCTCATGAGTGGACAGTGGAGGGGGAAGCCAGCCGCCTGACTGCCTATTTGGCATCCACTCCAGGAAGTAAATGGCCCTTAATCCCACAGCTGCCGAAGCCCAGGAGGGGAAGACAGTAGACACTGGATTGTAAAGCTCTTGTGAAGTGCTTCGGTTGACAGTTTTCTTTCTCAAACCCTTGGGGACAGAGGGAGGCAAACTGAATTAAAGAGCTAAATCAGGGTGTGTGTCTGTGGGTGTGTGGAGGGGTGGGTGTTTCAACGTGTGTTTGTGTTCAGATGCACATTGTGTGTTTCCTGTGTTTATAAGGTGCCGGGGCCAAGAGTGAGGCATATGCCTCTGAACAGGTGCAGGAGAAACTCTGAATACAGGTTTGCATGAATGTTTCTGGAGGAACTCCCTTTAGATCTCCTAGCAACCCAGGGTTTCCCCCACTTCCCTGCTTTTTGGATTTTATGTTTTATATTTACAGCTACTGCCCCTTGTATTTAATTAAACTTGTTTTCTATCAATGCCAACCTTGTCTTTTTATTTGAAAACTTATCTGCCCTGGATTTTTTTTTAATAAAATAAAGATGAGAGAATTTAGCATCTTTATTTTTTTTTAAGATTTTTCATTTATTTATTCATGACAGACTCAGAGAGAGAGAGAGAGAGAGAGAGAGAGAGAGGCAGAGACACAGGCAGAGGGAGAAGCAGGGACCAGGACCTGGGCCGAAGGTGGCACTAAACCGCTGAGCCACCTGGGCTGCCCAATTTAGCATCTTTAATCAAGTTGACAAAAAGTGAGGGTGTGCAGACTTCAAGGCTCGATTTAAAAAGGAACACCCTGTCTCTTGGATGTTTCTGGTAAGAAATAGCGGTCACAGGAAGCTCTGGAAGTCATACCACTTCTTTAAGTTTTAGGATTTTCCCTCCCAGATGAAATGAAACGACAGCGCAGAGTCCTAAGCCTAGATCATTTGTAGTTGGCGATATACCTAATCATTGGGGTGAAATGGGATCAGAAGAGGAGGAAAGGGGAACCCACATGGATAAGGTAAGAATGACTAGAACCCACCGCTTCATCTCCCCGGAGCTGACAATCTAGGAGCGAGTGGAAGACGGCCGGTTCCTGCAGGGCCAAGCCCCGCACTGGTGGCTCCACACTGCCACTCACTCAATGCCCACAGACACTCGGAAGAACTGTGGTCCCATTTCACAGACGAGGGAACAGAGGTGACGAGGGATGAACCCTACGGGGCTGGTAAAGCAGCCTCTGCGTGCAAGGCAGAGGTAGAATCTGAATCCAAGTCTTCCCAATTCCAAAGTCGCCGCAATTTGCATGAGGAAGGACTGGAGGCCGCAACAAGCACGTAAAAATCCCCTTCTAGTGTGAGCAAGACACGTGCGCATAAAGAGCGTGAGCACAGGGCCCTTGGGACCCCGGGAGGCGAGCGCGGGGGGCGCGGGGGGCGCGGGGGGCGCGGGGGGCGCGGGGGTCCGTACTAACCACCGCATCGGCGCTCGCCGGACTCAGTGATAAACTGTCACTTTCTTTTCTTTTTTTTTAACTTTTTTTTTTGAATTTTATTTATTTATTCATGAGAACACACAGAGAGGAGAGAGAGAGGCAGAGACACAGGCAGAGGGAGAAGCAGGCCCCATGCAGGGAGCCCGACGTGGGACTCGATCCCGGGTCTCCAGGATCACACCCTGAGCTGTAGGCGGCGCTAAACCGCTGAGCCACTGGGGCTGCCCAAACTGTCACTTTCGTTCTCTGGAATGACAGAAGACGTATTGAAGGTGCACCCACAGATTCATTCTCAGGCATCACGATTTTCCAGGAACATGCTCCTCGGCTGCAGACATCTCCCCGCTCGCTGCTGCGAACGTAAACACCCAGCAGATACTCACTACAGCACTCGGACCTGATCCGCATTCTTCCAGCGCTGAAACGCACTTCCAAAACGAAGGATGACTACATCTCACTAAAAATGACTGCCTTTAGCTTAGCTTTGAGCCGGGAAGGAAAGGACCCGTCAATATCCAGAAAGGTGAACACTAGAGGGCAGTCCAACGTAACGAGAGAAAAGCGATTTGGTGCTACGAGTTTCGAGCCTCGGCGCTCGCCGTCGCCCAGCCTGCGGCGGAGCTGGCCGCGCCTGCGCGTCGGCCTCCGGAGGGCGGTGCTTCCGGCCGCGGGACAGCGCGGCAGCGGCTCTTCGAAGCGGAGCCGGGAGTTCTCGTCAGCCTTGTCGCCGCCATGAGTCGCAGCTATAATGATGAGCTGCAGTTCTTGGAGAAGATCAATAAAAACTGCTGGAGAATCAAGAAGGGCTTCGTGCCCAACATGCAGGTGAGGCGGGGAAGCGGGAGCCGTGGGCGAGGCCTTCCCGCCTGGGGGCCCGCGGCGCCTCCCCCTCGCGCCGCCCCGCCCCCCCTGCGTCCGCGCGGGACCGCGGTCGCCCGCACCCCGGCCGGCCCCACCTCCCGGCAGAGCGGGACGTCCCCGGGGAAGCCCTAGCGGTCGCCACAACGGCGCTTCGTCATGGGAGTCTCGAAAACGCACCGTAGGACCCGACGCTCCCGAGCTTTAGGGACGCCAGTGTCCCTTTTTTTTTCTTCTTCTTCTTTTTTTTTTTTTTTTTTTTTTTTTTCCTCGGTGGCACAGCCAGCCCAGGGCAGAGTCGCGGGCCCGGAGCTCCGCTCCCGAGTCTCGCGGGCCTTCTGCGCGGCGCGCACGGACCTCGGTTCGCTGAGGCAGTCGTTAGCGGCCGCCGCCCTGCTGAGGCGTGTTTGGGTCTCGCAGCGTCTAGAAAGTTCGCAGGGCAGGGTGGCTCGTGTTTCGGGTGATACTCCCCGGGCTGGGGCTGGGTGGGCAACGCAGCTTCCTCCCGTTAGTAGCGGCTCAGCCCCTACCCGACACCTGCGTTACCGGTCTTCCTCGCACAGAGCGATGGGAACTCCGTCCGTCCCAGGCGGTGGTGCGGAAGCCTGGGCTCGCCGCCGCCGCCGCCGCTCGGGCTCCCTGCCGCTTGTGCCTGTTCCGCGAAAGTGAAGGAAAAAGTCAAGGTTGGGTGCATATGTTGTTAAATAGGTCTTTGAGGTCTCTTAAGGTGCCCTGCCCGGGTATGGGAGGTTTGTGGTTCTGTGTCCTTGGTAAAAGTTCCTGATAACGACTCTACTCTTTTACTCAGTGTCAGAGCTTAACTGAGTGTCGCCCGTGAGCAGAGCTAGACACTGAGAAGAAAGGGCCACAGACATAAGGCTCCTTTTTGCTGTTTCCCATTTAGCCGGTTTCTGTATGTGGACTCTGGCTCCCTGAATGGAGGAGCAGGAGAAACCAGGCCGTGGTGGTCCTGATGACACACCGTCAAGGTCTGGCAGCCGTTCTGGCCTAACGTTTGATAGACGCACTGTTGCTGATCCTGCCTCGGAGCAAGTCTTGTTTTGCTAGGCAGTTCTGGTTTAACTGTTTGTAAGACACATTACTACCACTTCCCTAAGAGTGGAGAGTTGAAGTCTTGATATGCTGCTCTTAAAAAGTCACCTTTATGCCTTATTACCTCTATTGTTTTCCCATTCTCATGAGATGAGGGAATTTCACAGTGACATCTCCATTCCTCGCGTAGGACGCACAGTCTGCACTAAAACTTCTTCCCCAAAACACTCACTTCCCAACTTGATGTCGTCTTTGTGTTTCCTTTATATCTTCTAAATGTCCTGCAGCTCCAGTGACATCTCTTGACTCCGAAGAGCTGGTTCAAATAGTGAACATCCCAGAAACCTCCAGCTCCCTAGGCTGCTGAGCCATTTCATCAGTTTCTTCCATAACACTCACCTGTCCTAGCACTTGCTTGCTTCATTGCACTCAGTTTTCCAGTCTGGGCTGCATCATGGACCGGAAATTCCTCAAAAACAGGATCTTACATGTTCTTCATATCTTCCCTAATGCCCACTACAGTGCCTAAAGCATACTAAGTCCTCAGTAAATGTTTGGTAAAGTAATAAATGTAGCCCTTAGAAAATTGTACTGGAAACATTTTCCTTCAACTGGTGGTATTATTCACACAGAAGTCTTCTTTTTGATAAAGAAATTTGTCCAGATAATTAAATGTTAAGTCTTTTTTCTCTATTAGTGTGAGTGGGCCTTTGGTGTTACAGAATTGTGTCCTCCATCGTCTTTTGTATTCTTTTATCAAGCTTCTTCATCCTCTCAAAATTATATAGATTATAGAACTAAGCACACAGTTGAATAGCTATATGTTAAAACTTTTTTTTTTTTTTTACTCCGTATTTACCTACGCATAGATTTGTAAATCAGCACAGGACACAATAAAGTGTAATGTGCTATTATCTTAGGCACAGGAAAAATACACTAAGATCACATGACTGCATATTTATATTTATATTTAGAATCCTATTTTTATTATTCATCTACTTATCAAGACCCACTGATTTTTAGGAGCACAAGAGTATTGGGACTTTCGGCCTCAATGAGAGCATAGTTCACACATGCAAAAAATATTTTACCTCTTGAATTCCTAAATGCCACTTTAAAAGTAGGAGAAAATACAGAACAATTTGTGAGCACTACAAACACATTTTTAAGACATATTTAAAGATAAGAACATGTACTCATTGTTAGGAAGTTTTCTGCTTGCTTAAGGTAATGAGAAATGTTTCATAAAGAGCAAAGCAAAATAAATATATAGAGAATGTGTACTCTACCCATTGCCTATATATCATGGATGTGTGCTCATAGTTTTTCCTTTTCATTGGTACCAGGTGGAAGGCGTTTTCTATGTGAATGATGCTCTGGAAAAATTAATGTTTGAGGAATTAAGAAATGCCTGTCGAGGTGGTGGTAAGTACATTAGTCTTTTACATGTGGTTATGTCAATAGTATCTTCCCTGTGGTCTGAAAATGGTAGTTCAATTATAATTTTAAAATACAAAAGTATTGTTGGGTAATGACCAAGATTTAGGTGAGATCAAGGACACCTGGGTGGCTCCGTGGTTGAGCATCTGCCTTGGGCTCAGGGCATGATCCTGGAGTCCCACATTGGGCTCCCTGCAGGGAGCCTGCTTCTTCCTCTGCCTGTGGCTCTGCCTCTTTCTCTGTGGCTCTCAGGAACAAATAAATAAAATCTTAAGAAAAAAAGACTTAATGAGATCAGAAACCTGTTACTTATTTGTGGCCACATTGTTAGCCACCTGGCTTTGTAGAAACTATTTAGAACTAGGTGAACATGGTTGGTTTCAAAGTTAACCTTGGACAGTAATAACAAGCTACCATTTTTTGTGCACTTATTATGTGCCGGGCACCTTGCTAGGTACTTAAGAGAGATTACCTCAATTCTTAGAGTAATTTTAAGAGGAAGATGTTTTCTTCATTTTACAGATGTGTAAGTCAAGGCTTAGTAACCCTAAGTACTTTTAATTTGTCCAATTGCATAGCTTCTCGGTGACAAAGGTGGAACTCAAGTCCAGAATACGAACTGATTCCAAAGTCCATATTCTTAACCAGTACCCT